GGCAGCCAGAGAGAAAGGTTGGGTCACTCACAAAGGGAAGTTCATCAGACTCACAGCGGATCTCTGCAGAAACCCTACTAGCCAGAAGAGAGTGGGGGCCAATATTCAACATCCTTAAAGAAAAGAACTTTCAACCCAGAATTTCATATCCAGCCAAACTAAGCTTCATAAGTGAAGGAGAAATAAAATCCTTTATGGACAAGCAAATGCTGAGAGATTTTGTCACCACCAGACCTGCCTTACAAGAGCTCCTGAAGGAAGCACTAAACATGGAAAGGAATAACCACTACCAGCCATTGCAAAAACATAACAAATGGTAAAGACCAACGATGCAATGAAGAAACTGTGTCAACTAATGGGCAAAACAACCAGCCAGTAACAAAATGTCAGGATCAAATTCACACATAACGATGTTAAACTTAAAAGTAAATGGCTTAAATGCCCCAATCAAAAGACACAGACTGGCCAACTGGATAAAAAGTCAAGACCCATCGGTGTGCTATATTCAGGAGACCCATCTCACATGCAAAGACTTACACAGACTCAAAATAAAGGGATGGAAGAAGATTTACCAAGCAAATGGAGAGCAAAAAAAAGCAGGACTTGCAATCCTAGTCTCTGATAAAATGGACTTTAAACCAACAAAGATCAAAAGAACTAACTATCCTAAATATATATGCACCCAATACAGGAGCACCCAGATACATAAAACAAGTTCTTAATGACCTACAAAGAGACTTAGACTACTGCACAATAATAGTGGGAGACTTTAACACTCCACTGTCAATATTAGACAGATCAACAAGACAGAAAATCAACAAGGACATCCAGGACTTGAATGAAGGTCTGGGCCAAGCAGACCTAATAGACATCTATAGAACTCTCCACCCCAAATCTACAGAATATACATTCTTCTTGGCACCACATTGCATTTACTTTAAAATTGACCACATAATTGGAAGTAAATCATTCCTCAGCAAATGTATAATTACGGAAATTTTAATAGTCTCTCAGACCACAGTGCAATCAAATTAGAACTCAGGATTAATAAACTCACTCAAAACTGCACAACTACATGGTAACTGAACAACTTGCTCCTGAATGATGACTGGATAAACAATGAAATGAAGGCAGAAATAAAGATGTTCTTCGAAACCAATGAGAATTAAGACACAATGTAGCAGAATCTCTGGGACACATTTAAAGCAGTGTCTAGAGGAAATATATAGCAGGAAATGCCCATATGAGAAGCAAGGAAAGATCAAAATTGACACCCTATTGTCAAAATTGAATGAGCTAGAGGAGCAATATAAAAAAAAATCAAAAGCTAGCAGAAGACAAGAAATAACAAAGATCAGAGCAAAACTGAAGGAGATAGAGATACAAAAAACCCTTCAAAAAATCAATAAATCCAGGAGCTGGTTTTTTGAAAAGATCAACAGAATAGACTGCTAGCCAGACTAAAGAAAAGAGAGAAGAATCAAATAGATGCAATAAAAAACAATAAAGGGGATATCACCACCAATTCCACAGAAATACAAACTACCATCAGAAATTACTACAAACAACTCTATGCAAATAAACCAGTAAATCTGGAAGAAATGGATAAATGCCTGGACACTTGCACCCTCCCAAGACTAAACCAGGAAGAAACTGAAACCCTGAATAGACCAATGACAAGGTCTGAAGTTGAGGGTGCAATTAATACCCTACCAACCAAAAAAAAATCCAGGTCCAGACGGGTTCACAGTGAAATTCTACCAGACATACAAAGAGGAACTGGTACCATTTCTTTTGAAACTATTCCAAACAATACAAAAAGAGGGAAACCTCTCTAACTCATTTTGTGAGACCAACATCATCCTGATACCAAAACCTGGCAGACACACAACTAAAAAAGAAAACTTCAGGCCAATATCCACGATGAACATCAATGCAAAAATCTTCAATAAAATACTGGCAAGCCAAATGCAACAGCTCATCAAAAACTTATCCATCACGGTCAAGTAGGCTTCATCCCAGGGATGCAAGGCTGGTTCAACATATGCAAATCTATAAACATAATCCATCACATAAACAGAACCAAAGACAAAAACCACATGATTATCTCAATAGATGCAGAGAAGGCCTTTAACAAAATTCAACAGCCCTTTATGCTAAAAACACTCAATAAACTAGGTATCGATGGAACATATCTCAAAATAATAAAAGCTATTTACGACAAACCCCACAGCCAATATCATATTGAATGGGCAAAAACTGGAAGCACTTTCTTTGAAAACTGGTACTAGACAAGGATGCCCTCTCTCACCATTCCTGTTCAATATAGTATTGGAAGTTCTAGCCAGAGCAATCAGGCAAGAAAAGAAATAAAGTTTATTCAGTTAGGAAAAGAGAAATTCAATTATCTCTATTTGCAGATGACATGATTGTATATTTAGAAGACCATATCATCTCAGCCCCAAATCTCCTTAAGCTGATAAGCAAATTCAGCAAAGTCTCAGGATACAAAATCAATTTGCAGAAATCACAGGCATTCCTATACACCAATAACAGAAAAACAGAGAGCCAAATCATGAGTGAGCTCCCATTCACAATTGCTACAAAGAGAATAAAATACTTAGGAATACAACTAACAAAGGATGTAAAGGACCTCTTCAAGGAGAACTACAAACCACTGCTCAAGGAAATAAGAGGACACAAACAGATGGAAAGACATTCCATGCTCATGGTTAGGAAGAGTCAATATTGTGAAAATGGCCATACTACCCAAAGTAATTTATAGATTCAGTGCTATCCCCATCAAGCTACCATTGACCTTCTTCACAGAATTGGAAAAAACCACTTTAAACTTTATATGGAACCAAAAGAGAGCCCTCATAACCAAGACAATCCTAAACAAAAAGAGCAAAGCCGGAGGCATCATGACTTCAAACTATACTACAAGGCTACAGTAATCAAAACAGCATGGTACTAGCACCAAAACAGATAGACCAATGGAACATAACAGAGGCCTCGGAAGCAACACCACACATCTACAACCATCTGATCTTTGACAAACCTGACAAAAACAAGCAATAGGGAAAGGATTCCCTGTTTAATAAATGGTGTTGGAAAAACTGGTTAGTGGTGTGCAGAAAGCTGAAACTGGACCCCTTCCTTACACCTTACACTAAAATTAACTCCAGATGGATTAAAGATTTAAACATAAGACATAACACCATAAAAATCCTGGAAGAAAACCTAGGCAATACCATTCAGGACATAGGCATAGGCAAGGACTTCAGGACTAAAACACCAAAAGCAATGGCAACAAAAGTCAAAATAGACCAATGGGATCTAATTAAACTTAAGAGTTTCTGTATAGCAAAAGAATCAATCATTGGAGTGAACCAGCAACCAACAGAATGGGAAAAATTTTTGCAATCTGCTCATCTGACAAAGGGCTAATATCCAGAATCTACAAAGAACTAAAGCAGATTTACAAGAAAAAAACCAAACAAACCCATTCCAAAGTAGGCAAAGGATATGAACAGATACTTTTCAAAAGAAGACATTAATGAGGCCAACAAACATATGAAAAAATGCTCATCATCACTGGTAATTAGAGAAATGCAAATCAAAACCACATTGAGATAGCATCTCACACCAGTCAGAATGGCGATCATTAAAAAATCTGGAGACAACAGATGCTGGAGAGGATGTGGAGAAATAGGAACACTTTTACACTATTGGTGAGAGTATAAATTAGTTTATGTTGAGTATGCTAAAGAAATAATTAATTAAAAACATATCCCTTTAAAAAAATAGTTCAACCATTGTGGAAGACAGCGTGGTGATTCCTCAAGGATCTACAAATAGAAATTCCATTTGACCCAGCAATCCCATTACTGGGTATATACCCAAAGGATTATAAATAATTCTATTATAAAGACACATGCACATGTATGTTCATTGCAGCACTGTTTGCAATAGCAAAGACCTGGAACTGACTCAAATGCCCATCAGTGATAGACTGGACAAAGAAAATGTGGCACATATACACCATGGAATACTATGCAGCCATGAAAAACAATGAGTTCGTGTCCTTTGTAGGGACATGGGTGAATCTGGAAACTATCATTCTCAGCAAACTGACACAAGAACAGAAAATCAAACAGCACATGTTCTTACTCATAGGCGGGTGTTGCAATGAGAACACATGGGCACAGAGAGGGGAACATCACACACTGGAGTCTGTTGGGGGGTGGGGGGCTAGGGGAGGGACAGCAGAGGTGGGGAGGTTGGGGAGGGATAACTCTGGGAGAAATGCCTGATGTAAGCGATGGGGGGATGGAGACAGCAAACCGCCATGGTATGTGGGTACCTATGCAACAATTCTGCAAGATCTGTACATGTACCCCAGAACCTAAAGTACAATAAATATATATATATACGTATATATAAGTATATATATACTTTAAAAACATATTTTTTAAAAACAAAAGATGGATATCCCTGCTGCATTTGAGACCTGGTTTCAGTCCGGCCTCCTCTAGGAAAGCTCATGAGCAACACTAGAATCTCAGCTCTCTCTGTTCTCTGATGTCATCTGAGGTTTTGTGTTTTTTGGGGGTGTGTCGGAGGACAGAGCCTTGTTGCAACGCCCAGGCTGGAATGCGCAATGGCGCGATCTTGGCTCACTGCAACCTCTGCTTCCCTGATTCAAGCAATTCTTCTGCCTCAGCCTCCTGAGAAGCTGGGACTACAGGTGCATGCCACCACGCTGGGCTAATTTTTGTATTTTTAGTAGAGATAGGGTTTCACCCTGTTGACCAGGCTGATCTTGAACTCCTGACCTCAAGTCATCCACCTTCCTCAGCCTTCTGAAATGCTGGGATTACTGACGTAAGCCACCTTGCCCAGCCCATCAGAGGTTTTTCTAATGTAGAGAATATACGGCAGTGTTTTAAATAACCCACCCTCTAATATTTGACTGCACTCCCTTCTTCAACACACAGGTTGGGGGCAGGAGCTGCTTCTTCAATTAGAAGAATGAACAGACCTCATAGTCATTGCCTTTAGACCCAGGTAAGAGGAATCCCAGCCTTGGGACAGCACTTCTAGAACATTCTCTGGGTAGCTGGGTCGTCATAGGTCACTTGCTGAGTTTGTCCTCCCTGAGTGGACTGTGTTGTTGGTGCGCACATTGTATTTCCATGGAATGGTATTTTAGTCCTGCTGCTATAACAGAATACCTGAGACCAGACAATAGACATTTACTTCTCAGAGTTCTGGAGGGTGGAAAATCCAAGATCAAGACATCAGCAGGTTCAGTGTCTGGCGAGGGTTGCTGTCTGCTTCCAAAATGGTGCCTTGGGGCTGGGTGCGGTAGTTCATGCCTATAATCCCAGCACTTGGGGAGGCTGAGGCAGGTAGATCACCTGAGGTCAGGAGCTTGAGACCAGCCTGGCTGACATGGCAAAACCCCATCTCTACTAAAAATACATAAAATTAGCTGGGTGTAGTGATACATGCCTGTAATTTCAGCTACTTGGGAGGCTGAGCCGGGAAAAGTGCTTGAACCCGGGAGGCAGAGGTTGCAGTAAGCCAAGACTGCGCCGTTGCGCTCCAGCTTGGGCGACAGAGTGAGACTGTCTCAAAAGACAAACAAAAAACCAACATGGTGCCTTGTTACTGGATCTTCCAAAAGGGATGAACGTATGTCCTCGAATGACAGGACAGAAGGGCAGAAAGTATGTAAACTCACTCCCTCGGTCCCTTTTAGAAGGTGCCAATCACTCCCTAAAGGCCCCACCTCTTAATACTATTGCACTGGGGATTGAGCCTCAGTGTGAGTTTTGGAGAGACACAGACATTCAAACACGGCGTTGTGCACACTCCTATTTCTGTGGAATGGCCAAGGTGCAGCTATTTGTAGGGGCTCTGACAGAGCTCCACTGTGGAGCTGGGGTGCCCACATGCCTGTATGGAAGAGCTTTCATGGCACTGGAGCCTGGTGGGAAGAGAATGGGGCTGGATTCCAGGGACTACCACCTTGTGCCACCACATTCTAGTGTGGAGTTCCAGAGAGGCCACAAATTCTTCATTTGAGATGGACTCCCCAGCCTCATGTTCTTCTGCAGGATGTAAAAGGCAATGCCAGCAGAGGGTGGCAGTGCTGGAGGTGCCTGGTGGGCAGAGGTTACCTGGCTGGACTGGCCGGGGTGAGGATATGCTTCCCAGCAAAGGAATGTGGGCTTCTGTTGGGTCTCTTGTTCCAGGCCTCACACATTTTCTAGGCAGCCTGGGTATGTCTTGGCCCGCTCAATCCCTCAAAGGCCTGTTTCATTCTCATCTTGCTGTCACCTATGTGGTGCCAAGAAACAAGTCACCGAAATAATGAAATGCCTAGCTAAGCTTAAAAACAAAACCATGAGGACTTTCTAAATAAATTACGAAAACAAAGTGCAAACTGCAGGTCCCTGTAATGAATTCGAAGTCTCTGTTCCAAGAATGCATTAATTTAAACAAGGAAGTCTAAGGCAAAGGGGGGTGATTAGGAGAGGAAGGCAGCTGACATGGAACTGAACAGACCAAGGTTCCACCTCAAAAACAAGTGTGCATTATTTGTGGTGACCATTCTTGTTATTGTTCTATTGCTTTAAAACACAGCATAGCATCATTCTTGTAGATGCCAGTTGTTTAAAATATGGGTAAATGTATATGGTTTGCTCAGCTAGACTGGAGCGCTCATCTACACTGCTTAAGAGAAAAGATTTACTGAGAAAATTCAAAGGACAAACAGAGTGCAAGGGGAATGTTAGCTTTAATTAAGAAATCAGCTCTTTAAAGGGCTTAAGCAGAATAATTGTTGGTATGCAAATGGGGCTGTGAATTATAAATGAATCATCCATTCTTTGAAGGCGGCTGAATAGGATCTCTTCTTGGAAAGACTTGGGGAGTATTTTAAGTTGTTAAAGGCCAGGCGCAATGGCTCACACCTGCAATCCCAGCACTTTGTGGGGCCAAGGTGGGCGGATCACCTGAGGTCAGGAGTTCAAGACCAGCCTGGCCAGCATGGTGAAACCTCATCTCTACTAAAAATACAAAACTTATCTGGGTGTGGTGGCATGTGCCTATAATCTCAGCTACTCAGGAGACTGAGGCAGGAGAATCACTTGAACCTGGGAGGCAGAGGTTGCAGTGAGCCGAGATCATGCCACTGCACTCCAGCCTGGGTGATAGTTAATAATTACTGAGTCCTTTACAGCCAAACAACAATAGCTAACATTTATTAAGTGTTTATTACATGCTAGTTCCTCAGTTCCAAGCATTTAGTCTTCACAACATAGGATTATGACCATATTATAGAGGAGGAAAATGAAGGCTTCCAAGTACCTTGCTCAAATTACCTAGCTAAATGCTAGAAAAGCAAAGACAGGTACAACAGGCTGTCCACCTTTAAGTTTACTACCTAGTATTTTTTAATGTAAATTCTCTAACACGTTCAGGCCAGCGTCCTCTTTCAGCTGATCTGAATTTGATACGTTTCTTTTCTTTTTCTTTTTTCTTTTTTTTAAATAATTTTTGCCACTTCTACCTAGAGTGAGTTTCACAGCTGATCTGAATTCGGTGAATTTCTTTTCTTTTCTTTCTTTCTTTCTTTTTTTTTTTTTTTTTTAAAATAATTTTTGCTACCTCTACCTAGAGTAAGTTTCAATAAAATAAAACAATATGTAAAACATTTCTAACCAATTAACTATTGTCATGTATTATAAGAAGAATGATGGGGAAAGCTGTCTTATGGAATATTGAGTCCGTTCTTGGGAAGCAATTGCCTGAAGAACATTCTTATTTCCAAATTGTAGCATGGTCTTTTTGTGCCTGAATAATGACGGAAAGAGTGAAGATTTTGTAACAAAACCTCAGGGACACAATTAACAAGTTGGCATTTCTAATTCATGTGGAAACGCTATTTTATTTATCAGAGAATTGTAGCAGTGCTGTTCATTTAATTAAGAATCTGATGTTGCGGAAGGGCAATTGAATGAAGTTTATAATATTGCAGACAGACAGGTATGCAAACACAAAGAAAATTAGTTAAGGATCTAAGTGCTTATTTTCCCTTGAACAGCTCATTTTGACATGATTTGTGAGCTGTTTCATAAAGGAATTACAGAAGTATTTTTTATCCTTTTAAACATTTTTTACGGTAAATTCATCTATCTAGTAATTGTACATGGCTCATAAATAGCCAGAAAGAAAAGTGCACTGTCTCTCTGTATTAGAAGGCCGTTTAGGATCTAGTAGCTTTCCCAACTGCAAGTAAAGTAATGGCATATTCTAATTTATATGAACGACATCGTAAAACCAAAAAGGTAAAGAAAACAAGTTCGAACGAGAAAGTAATCTGAGAAAGGCCAAGAATGGGCGTCAGGTATGGATTGGAAGGAGACAAGAGACTGGAAAGGTGACAGAGGGGAGCCCCCACGATTGATGGCTACCATCTGCACCTTCTCCAGGAAGTGTTGCTCACCTGTCCAAGCCACAAGTTCTGGTCATCTCATAGATCCAAGTGCCTCCAGGTGAGTGTGCCACTTCCAAAGCTCAGCCTTCCTAAACCACCTCACCTCAAAATCTGGATACATTTGTTCACAGTATGTACTTGTTGAGTGCTAGTTATGTGCCAGGCACTGGTCTGGGTGCTGGGGGCACACCCATGAACAAGGACAACACGCTCCTGGTGTCTTGGAGCTGACATTCTAGTCAGAGGAGACAGTCTGTAAACACATAGATAAATAATTGCAAGAGTTGCAGAGGCAATTTTTGCTGAGAAAATAAAGCAAAATAAAGAGATGAAGTGTAAGTGAAGAAAAGGGACTGTTTAAAGAGGTGGTTAGGGAAGGCATCTCTGAGGTCAGGACATCTGAGCAGGGAAGGAGCCAGCAATGGCAAGCACCAGGGGGAGTACGCTCCAGATGGAGCATGTACAAAGGCCCTGGGGCAGGAAGGAGCCTGATTTGCTGGATGAGGAGCAGGAAGGTGCCAGTATCGCTGAGCTGGAGAAGAGGAAGAAAAGTGGGGGAGGAAGATGAAGTCACAGAGGTCAGGCCATGTGGGCCTCTTAGGTATGACCAAATGCTTGGATTCTCTTCCAAGCAGAATGGGAAGTCACTGGAAGATCTTAAGTAGGGACGTGATAAGACCGATTTATACTTTCCAAATATTACTCTGACTTCTCTGTGTGGACTGCATTATAGGAAGATGAGAGTAAGGTGAGTGAAAAGGGTGACCAGTCGTGAATCCGCCTCCTTCCACAGAGATGAGTGCAGGCTGAAGTCTTGTCCATGAGATGCTTCTGTGGAAGCTACAGGGAGCTGACCGTGGCCTTAGAACTGACGGTGGTGGGATCAGAGAGAGGGGAAGCAGAGATGATTCAAGCTTTGGCCCAAAGATCAGAAGCAGAAAGGACTCTGCGCCTCTGGCAAGAGGACAACGGAATGTTTTCTGTGCAAACATCCAAGTCACCATTTTCCTAGGTGACACTGCAGCTGTGGGGCCTGTGAACAGGACAACAGCTAACCATTCCGAGTTTAAAAATCAGGGACAGTACCTTCATGTGTATAACATAGGGGGACAAAGCAAAATTCATTGGCAAGCATTTCCTTTAAAATTCAGGGAAGGAAGATTCCATTGTCTACAAATTCTTAATGGAAATTAATAAAGATGAGCAAATATCACAAACACTGCCTTTATTCTGTGTGGTGTCCTGGTTACATGAGTGTTTACAGAAGTTTTTCTAGCTTCTTTCTTGTCTCAGCCCCCAACTGTCTGTTTTTCCCCGTAAGGGTTTAAGTTCCTCAGCCACAAATTGTCCTGCCACTGAAGTTTGCAGCCTAATCCTATGCGGGGGGTAGAAGGGAATCATCTGGTTTGGAATGACTGGAAATCAGGGTGCCAGCTTCGGGAGGGCGTTGATGAATCCAAAACGACAGGTAGGGGTTCGCTGTGGAAGGGGAGGAAACTTTCATTTTAAAATGGTGAGGTCCTGGTGTCCCTTGGCAGGCATTGCTGCCCTTTCGCGCAGG